CCTCACCAAATTCTGTGTGATCATTTAAAAAAACAAGAACAAAGAGAAAAAGAGAGAGAGAGAGAGAGAGGTTTAAAGGGAGATAACCTTGTATTCGAAGTTCGAACATTATCATTGATAACTCTCTCCTCCAATTTGTGGAGCCTAGTTACTATATTCTTAATACTTGAGATAATGCAAAAATATCACAGTTGTAAAATCGGTCAGTAATAAATTATAACTATTCATATTGGGACTGATGCCTGTAATTACAAGTAATCGATAATAATATTTTAAATTTTGTAGTCATATTTATTTTGTTGATAGGAATTTTTTAAAACCGTTCCTAAATCATTCAATCACACCTCCTCACCTGTTATTCCCTTCCCCAGCACTTAAGAGGCACGCTCCATCGTTTGGGAACCACTATGCTAGATCAATGTTGTCCTCGCAAAAATGATATTTTTAACTATTTTTAACTATTTTTGCCTTTTTTTTTTTAAATCCGATTGGGTGTCTAGACAACCTTCTCTTCAGAGAAGCCTAAAGGTACTTTTTTCTTGTTCATTTTTTTTTTTTTTCACAGATGGTTCGACCATGCAACTGGAAGATCGAGGTAACCAGGAACTGCTTTCTGAGATAAATATATATATATATATATATATATATATATATATATATATATATATATATATATATATATAAATATATATATAAATTTTAAAATTTTCTGTTTACTTTATTATTTTGATATATCGTTTTTTTTTTCTCATTCAGCTTAATATTTACTCGAATATAATTACTTTTTAATCTCAGAATTTTATTTGTATTCAAGCCATTAAAAAAAGATTACGTCGTCTTCCGATATTTAATGTTGATTATTTTCGTCATTAAGAATACTTTAATATGATTTATTCCGAGTAAAATAATTCTTTTAATATTTTCTTTATAAAATTGACTTCTGAAAACTTCCTGTACTGATTTCTTTTTCAATATTTTAAAGATGTTGTAGAGTTTTATTTTATTTTTATTTTATTTTGATGAATTTTCATTTGTAAACACTAGTTGACGAACTACTCGACGGCTGAGATTTTAAGCTACATTACGAGGAAAGCGTGATGAGGTAATTTTATCCAATGAAATAACATGATCACCTGGGTTATATTTAAAGAATTGATTTGTTTTTTACGACTCATCAACATCTTTGATAATGGCTAAGGAACTAGCCAAAAGCACATGTATCCAAACACAATGTCGACAGTTCTTCCATACCCTGTGTCGCCCAAATTCATTGATTCGTTTTCTACGGATTATCAACCCTTTTTTCAGATTATTTCAAGCAAGAAAATATTTTTACATTGTAAGACAGTTTTGGGGTGGGGAGTGATAATAATGATTTTATTGATACCAGTTTTACTAATTAACCCATAGCTGAGGGGAGAATAGGTTGTTCATAACTTTCCCAAAGGGATTTGACCTTAAGTGAATATAACGAACCCAACACAATTGAAATTCGGCTTTTCTATATGCCCCAAATAAATCTATTGTACGCATACAAAAAATATAGCAAACTAAATGAATGAATTCAATGAAACCTGTATAAAGGAAGGATTGTTACCGAATTACACAAAATATATATTGTGTAATTCTGTATATTTATATATATATATATATATATATATGAAGAAATATAGTCTTAAGATGTGCTATATTTATGGGATAAAGTGCTCAGTATCAGAGAGAGAGAGAGTGCGTGTAAATAAAAATTGAACATAGATGTCAACACTTAGAGGCGACAGTCTGTTTCATGCTAGTTGTAATCGGTGGCCTGACGATTGCATTTAACATGAAACAGACTGTCGCCTCTAAGTGATGACTTCTATGTTCACTTTATATATATATATATATATATATATATATATATATATATATATATATGAAAGGCTCAGACACTAATATTCCATGGTTATAATTTATTATATTGGAATCGTAATCACGATCCAATTCATCAGACCTACAAATACAAAAAGTCATATATATATATATATATATATATATATATATATATATATATATGTGTGTGTGTGTGTGTGTGTGCGCGCGCGTGTGTGTATTAAACGCTGGTTATTTGCTGTTGTTACTAAAAGAACAATATGCATGTCTTTCAACACTTATTCATCACATATTGTCGAGCAGGATTTCTGTTCTTTTAATAAGCGTAATTCGTATTTGTCTTATCTTACACGTGTAGTCGATGGTACAGTAGAAATCTAGCGCCAAATCTTCCTCGCGCTTCCTTATCGACTTACGTGGTGTATAACGCTATAGCAAAAATGGTTGCCGATAAGACCCAGTGCCGGGAGGGATTAACTCTATTTTATTCTTTATTTTCTTTTTCTTGAAGTGAACAACAGAAAATTCAATTTTTCCAAAAAAGAATATGAGAACCTATAAAAATAAACAAATCATTATTTACATTTCTAGGACTATCATCCTCATTTTTGTTGCCATACTTATCACAACGTTTCGGCCGTTGTACACTACAACCTTCTACAGGTGGTTGGAATGTCGAACTGGACCCTTTATTTCACTCTCTAGTGTTGACTATTCTTGTTCAACGTGCCAGGTCTAATGGATGTCAGTTATCAGTTATCGCCTGTTAATTCCCCTCTCCAAGTTCTGATAACTGACATCCATTAGACATGGCACGTGGAACTAGAATAGTCTACCCTAGCGAGTGAAATAAAGGGTTAAGTTCAACATTCCAACCAACTGAAGAACGTCGCATTGTACAACGGTCTAAACGTTGTGATAAATTTGGCAACAAAGATGATGATGATTGCCCGAGCAATGTAAATAGTGTACATAATACCTCATCTTAGAAATATAGACAGATGCTGAAATAAAACCTTTTGGAGCTAACAGCAATTTGATAAAAAAAAATAATTCAATCAAATATTTTAATAGGGGAAGATATATAAATTTTATATACCAGAATAATTTTAGGAAAATTAATAACAACTTTTAACTTATTTATTATGCTATCGAGGTAATTTCGTTTTGTATTTTTTATCTGTTTATTTTTTAGCACTTTTCTTCTTACATATCTCACATACAATAACAATATAATTGCTGCCAAGAAAAGTGAAACATTGTAAGAAATTAAACGCAAATTTACTATTTATTCAAGGTAAATTCTTAGTCAAAAAACGTATCCTTCAGCAGGGTTCGAACATTTTGCGGCGCGAATATGCAACGAGAAACAGCTGGGAAAAGTGCCAAACAGAAGAGGCAGCAAAGATGTCTAGGAAAACTTCGCACTCATAGGATTTCGTCAGGGCAAAAGTTTTAGGGGAAGCCAGCGATTTACCTACCCGACGAGATTGTGTGAATGGATAAAGCAACGATGTTCGGGAGGCTTGAGAAAGGGAGAAAAACTGCTGATTGGCAAAAGGGATCGGATATTGTGGTGACCCCATGATCACCCAGGTACCGAAGGGACACGACACATAAAATATAACAATAACAAATAACACACAGTAAGGCAAACAATAAATAAGTTCTAAATAGTTTTAAAATATTTAATTCCCTACCCAATGTCACTTGTGTTTTCATTATTCACGACGTTATTGGTAAACATTTCATTGTCAGTTCAGTATTTTCTTATTTTGAAACATGGATACTTTATTTCACTTCTTGCTGTCATGAACAATTACGAAACAAATCGCGTCATGCGGTTACCGGTAAACATGTCAAACCACCATTAGCTAAGGGTAACCCACGGACACGCGCACCAGACAGCGCATGTCCTTTCACCGGCACAGGACCGGTGCGTATTAACAACAAAACACACTGATCATTTGGTTTTATTTACTGATAGTTCACTCAATAAAAGACCCAAGAGCCACACAAAGTAGAGTGTTAATGAGTGCGATTGTAACAGTGGCAGAAGGGGAAGTATAAAAATATGAGAACGAGTTGGATAGATATTGGTTGTTCCTGGACCAAAATTGGACTTATCAGGAAAGCAGTCTCTCAGGGGTTTCTTTTGGCGGAGAAGCTGTTTGAGTAGATCTTACTTTTTCCTCAGGGGAACACAAAGAGAAAAGAAATAGTTTGCTACTGTGAATACAGCATGGGGTGCCCCAGCAGTGAAGGTTCGTGCTGGTGGCATTGATTTATGTAGCTCGTCCGAAAATCTACCATAGTAGTAGCGTTGTACCAGTGAAAGTCAGTCGACGTTTCATCAGTAGAATAAGTATTGCAGGGTAGAGAATAATTCATCATCCACAAGGACGCCGAAGCGATTTTGAACTCCGTCGAGTCTGGACAATGAGGACCGAGCAGAGTACCAGCCTTAATATTGCAGCAATACTCCAGTCTTGGTCTGATCTAAATCTAATAATGATGTAAATAGCAGCGGGAGATTGTCACTTCAAGAATTTTACAATAATCTGACCATTCCCTCAGCATCGTTTATATTCAATTTGGGTCGAGAGTGAGCTTTAGACGCAGTCATCATTCGAGGCTAGTGGACTCTTTAACCACTTATCATAATTGGTGCAGGTTTAGGGCCTGCTCGGTGGTAATGAAATGCTACGACGTTAAGTTGTATTGAATGATATCAGCCAGTCTTTTTTTTTCCTTCTAATGAACTGTCAGATTTCGGCCAGACGATAAATCAGCTGTCAGACAATGCTCATCCAGATATTTTCAGAAACACCCAAACACTGTTTTATCAACTGAATATACAGAGTAAAAGTTACCGGCAAACGCGTCGAATGCCACCAACGGCTGATGGTCGATATGCTTACTAGTCAAGCGTAACTCACGGACATCCACACCACTGAGAGCAAGTACTTCAATCGGTATACCAAATACGGATACAAGGTTATGAAAAAAACAATTAAGAGTGCTAACATCACCCGGCAGATTCATACACGGCTTACCAGAGAAGAGCATCAATACGAATCCCCAGAGGCGACCATCTAGAAACGTTGAACGGCCGCCGGGAGATTGTATTAGCCGGACCGCAATTGTGTCACACGAGCGTGACAAACAGGCACCTTCATCACCAGCATCGCGGAGACAGTCAGCAACGGGAGGCGGTCGAGCGAAGGAGTACCTGGCCGTGGCGAACCGAATATCATCATGAGGCGGTCATGGTCAAGAAGCAGCTCGGACAAATCTGTAAAAGACGGTTCATCGTCAAATCTCTGAAGGTGGAAAGCCAAAGAGCATCTAATTAATATTAATACCAAACTAAATCTTTAATACCTGCAAGATTATCGCGCTAATCCATGCAAAAGCATATATCTATCTCCACCAGGAACTCTCGTTAACAGATGAGAGGTTACGTTGCGTAAAACAAAAGATCAATTTAGATATGTTTCCCTGAATTGATATTGAAAGCTGTTTACGAGTTTGACTGACATGTTTGTGTCTGACAAGTATATCTCGCTTAATTCCGATGTTTTATTTAAGGAAACTAAGCGAAAACACTGGTAACGGTTTTGGAAAAATAAGTCGTTGATACACAAGCAAATAACATAAATCACGTATTTGCCAAAATTAATGTCGCAGATATTGGTTCATGGGGTGTTAGTTTACGCTTTCTTTCTCTAGAAAGCGTATACCAGCTTATGAAGTATGGCGTCACGTCGGGTTATCATACTTCTAGATTTATTCCAAAACGAGGTTGCTCTGCTATTTAACCGATGGTTTGACATAGAAGAGACGGGTTCATACCATCGGCAAGGGCATTTGTGTAGAAGTAAAATCCATAACGTCGTCGAAAATTCGAACATTTTTCCAGTGACAGGGGTTGGAAGGATAGCATCGAATCGATTGCTAAGACTGTTGTTAGGAAAGTGGTTTCACTGTGTCGTGCTGTACAATTTTCTTAACCAGAATTTATTTTGCATTTTTATAAGTCTACCATTCTTATGTGCTTTGCGTATTGCTGCCATCTCTGGTCCGATGCTACCGCCATGCATCTAGACATTCTTGATAATAGACAAAGAAGAATCTGCAATGTTGTCGGTCCGGACGTGGCATCTCTGCTTTCGTCAGATTCCCACCGCCTTGACGTACCATGCGTGTGCCTTTTCTATAGATATTTTAAAGGCGATTGTTTTCATGACTTTTTCTTCTTTGGTTCTTCGACTTCAGGAATTAATGCGGAGTAGGTAGTTAGGTCTCATTTTAGTGTTGAACTAGCTAGATGGAACCGCGGGTTCGAATCTGATAGTTTCCTCTCTCACAATTATCACTTTTGAAACACTCACCCCATTTCTTTTCTGTTAACAGAGAATTAAGTGTATCACTGAACTGGCAATAAAATATGAGACACTCTGGAGGAAAAAATGTCATCTTCTATACGGAAAGAAAAGCCGTTACTTTTTTTCTCGTTTGGGGATAATGGAACAAATAATAGATATATTTTATATGCGAATTTTCGCTATGTCAAGGATTTTTACCATCGAATTCAACGTCTGAATAACCAAGAGTTCAATATCTCATCTATGTCTATTGACATTGCATTACCGTCGAAATGACTAGATTTAAACTAAGCTCTATTTTGATAGTTACTTTTCTCGTACTTCTAAATTCTGGAAATCTCTTCTGATTTCTTGCTTGCTTGTGGCAGACCATCTACAAAAATATAAATGCAATGCCAATTGTCTTCTTCTGACCCTTTCTTTTATTGTCCTTTCTCATCGGTAAAGTTTTCTCAGTTTCTTTCTCTTACCCCGTCTTCTTGGCCTTATCGCTTTGCTTCTTAAATGATTAAAAACATCTAAGTAGAAAATTAAGATTATATACCGAGAGGGAAAAGGGAGAGTTTATAATCTAAGCTACAATTAATAGATAAGCGGAGCCAGAATGAATGTTTGTATTTAAAAAGGGTGTGCGCTGCAATAGAATATCAGGTTCAATTTACTGAATAGGCGTGCGACAGGAGAATTTTTAATTAGAGAATATATGGAGCCTTTTTGAGATAACTAGCAATAACTGTGTCGTCCGTTGGGACGCACCTGTGTGTCATCGGAAAGGTTTTGGTTGTGCATATATTAAGAGACAAAAGTTTCTACTCCATGTGTTCCTGCAATTGCTATATGTCTAGGAATAACTAGCAGTAGAGCCCGGCGTTGCCCGGGGATGTAACAGTAAGAGATAGATCAAGTATCGACCATCATAAAGACTGAAAAATAAAATTGACAAAGATTATTGTTTAAGGTTGACGGACACGCATGTTTTAATTAGGTTTCTTTTTTTTTTGTTTTTTTTTGTTTTTACGAATTGATCAAACTCAAACAAAAACATTGTTTTCAATCGTTATGAGTCTACCAATTGAATAGAATTTTATTATAAACAATTGTCTTGTAAATGGAATTTTTAAAGCATTCTGAATGTAAAAATAAAGAAAAAAGTGTAGAAGACAATAAGAAACACTACCTGCCAAAAAAAAAAGAAGTGAAGTTTTGTTGAAATCGGTTGAAAAATGTAAGAAATCCGATCCCATATATGAACGAACATACACACACACACACACACAACCAACCAACCTGGGTTTTATAATAAGTATAACTCGATGTGAGTTGTCCTTCTTTCATTAATGCCTCTTAATCGTGTTTTCAAATTGATTTCGTGCAAAAACAATTGTTTTTTTTCCCAATTTTTTTGTCGCTATCAGAACCACCGCAAGGTAATTTTACGTAGTCCTGTGAAGTTTTGTTGAAATCGGTTGAAAAATGTAGGAAATCCGATCCAATATATAAACGTACAGACACACACACACACAACCTGGGTTTTATAATAAGTATGATTAAACCTCACTCATCCAGCATGAAGCATGTCATCCAGCATAATGCATCTGTTTGAAAGACACGATAGCAGTTCGATACCACAAAGATGTTACGAAATTCAGTCATGCAGAACGAGTTTTCTGATACGATATCACGATAGAAATGGGTTCACTTGTCCTTCAGAAATGAGTTCCAAATAACAGTTTACTCTTAATCGGCGGCAAATATTTCACGAATGTGCACGCCAAACGGATAAATACAAGAGAAAGCTCATTTTTTTTTAAAAGGATAGCTTTTAACCCTATCCAGAGCAGGCTCTTTCTTTTCTTTTCTTTTTCTTTTCAATTTGTACAGTTCCCTTTGTTCTTGGGATATTAAGCAAGTAAGAGGGAGTTCCACAGACGGGAAGTGCGAAATATAAAGCTATTGGCGTAAAAGAGACGGGTGCATTTAACCGCTTTGACAGTGAAAGGGTGGGAGTGAGATGCCATCTAGTGGCACATTTGAATTCATGCAATTTGAGAACTAGCGAAAATAGTTCTCCACCGCTTTAACCAGGTATTGAACTCACAATCTTTGGGTTCTGTCACTGGATATAACTAACGCCTTTATCCACTGTGCCATGTGTCCTTGAGGACGGCGGAGAACTTGGAGAGGCGAATTAACAGGCGATAACTTATAAGTGACATCCATTAGACATGGGAATTGGAACTAGAACAGGTTAGCCCAGCGAGTGAAATAAAGAGTCCAGTTCGACATTCCAACGATCTGAAGAATGCCGGAGCGTACGATGGCCGAAATGTAGTGATAAATATGGCAACAAATATGGGGATGATAGTCCGTGCAATGTAAATAGTATACATAATACCTCATCCCAGAAATATTGACAGATATATTTTGAAACATTTTAGGAATTTTCTCCTGAACTGCTTATTGAATGCGCTATTTAAATTCAGCAAAACTATTGATCTGTTGGCGATAAACCTTTGCTTTTATGAAGCCACATGAAAAGAAATCCAACATTGTGTAAAAAAAAAAAAAAAGATGCGTTTCTTTTGTATTTAATGTTAACAGGGTTTTCAGAAGGAAATGATAAAAAATAAATAAATAATAGAAAATAAATTATCAAGCTAAAAAACAAAATTAGAATCTTTTACAGTTTTAGCCTATATTAAAGAAGATGAACAGAAATAAAAGTGAGTTTATTTTTACGATTTTCCGATTTCACTAAAATAGATAGATAAAATAATTCTGGGACAACTGTTTTTGTCTCGTTCTTCCAGCTTTATTCCCAGAACGAAACATAACCTTATTAATCTGGGAGGTGCCTATTAGATGTTGACACGCAAATCGTGAATGCATGAGGCATGATGGTACCCGCTGAACTCCAGTGAAACATCTACTGATAGTGACCGTACATAAAGGGTTAAGTATCCTCATTATCGAGAATTAAAGAGATAAGGTACACGTAATAGGTTAGAATTATCACTTGAGAGAAGGCTATAAGATTTTATCTCGTACGAGACGAGATTACGTAATCTCTCCGAGATAAGGTCCAACAAAAGGTTACGAAGCATCGATGTAGAAACGTAAGTCAGATTAAATCCAATAAGACAAGAGATCAAACATCACGATATACGATTTGATCCAGTTAATAGATAAGATTCATTTAATTAGATTATATAGGGAAGGAAATCGACTTACATATCTTCCCTGTTAGTAGAAATAAAATATGAGACACTCTAGAGGAAAAATTAAATCTTATATATGGAAAGAAAAGCCGTTACTTTTTTTCTCGTTTGGGAATAATAAACAAGTAATAGATATATTTTATATGTGAATCTTCGCTAATATGCCAAGGATTTTTACCATCGAATTCGATATCTGAATAACCAAGAGTTCATTTTCTAAATGGATGTGAGACAGTCCACGCAGTCGATTTGATTATAGTGATGAAAGCTAGAATCAAATTAGCCACGATATCTGAAATACGGTCAAAAATTGGTCATCCGTTACTATATGGTCTGGCAACACACTAACGGCTATTACATATAAAAAACTGCCAAAATCATTACTCTGGGCGGCTACGAAGGCAGCACCACAAATTCTTTACAACGTTCTGTAGCAGCCGGCATGTATGTTTTTACACACACACACACACACACACACACACACACACACACACACACATATATATATATATATATATATATATACTAGCAGCATAGCCCGGCGTTGCCCGTGCTTGAATCGTACAGCAATCGCTATCACTTTACTTAAAATATTTTTGCCTTTCCTTGCCTTTAAAGGAGTGTCCTTTGTCGTGCTGATGTTGCTACATGCCTTACTTCTTGCTTATCTCACACTGCGAATTTTTTCTAAGCTGTATACTAAACATTAAATCTGTTATCAAAAAATAATGTTTTGGTGTAGGGCCTAATAATGAATTTGAAAATTCGGCAGAACCAACATAGCCAGTTAGGTGTGCATGCATGTTGGTGGTAAGGTGCAATAGTCTAACAGCGTGCCTAAGTTGTGACGATGTCAATCACGCTCGAATAGCATCGGCCCTTGTCCCCTTAGGTACAACGGGGAGGGTCTGGCAAAAGTCACTGGATAGAAGGACAGTTATACATCCAATAAGGTCATTTGCAGTTTCGAATATCCTTCATAGAGTGGTTTACAGCCTCGAGTGCAGTTTTGGGACTGACAGTGCACTCATCCCAGACGATGAGCTTACATCGCCCGAGTACCTCTGGTACCGGATTGCTTGGCTATACAGAATACAGCTGTTTCTGCCTTAATCAGGTCAATTGGAAGTTTAAACGTTGAGTGCACTGTTCAGCCACCCGTTAGTAATGTGGCAGCAATGCCTGAAGAAGCTACTGCTAGCGCCACTTCGTCATGGTGCCGAATTTCTGCAAGAAGTAGTTTTGTTACGAATGTTTTTCCCGTTCCTCCAGGCGCGTCCAGAAAGAAAATTGATCCTGTATCCTGCCTGGTTGATGCAAGACCCGCATCGTAAGCGGCCCTTTGGTCTATGAGAAGTTTTGGCTCATTTGTTGTGACATAGGCGTTGAGCTCCTCAACAGAGTATGTTGAGGATGTCTCACGCACAATCTCAGGTGAGAGACTGGACCCATTTTGCAGAAGGCCATAGTGGTATCCATCTTCTCCGTAAGGGAAGAGAAGTGGTTATTGCAATGCATCGTAGGACGGTGCGTTTCACTAATTCTTCGGAGGCCACTGCCGCGCGATTCGATAACAATGTCACGTCAGTTGTGCTGATCACCGCTGACAATAACGGAAACATCGTTACTTGCGGGAGCATTGTAAAGACATTCGTGCTCTCCCTGAGGCCGTTTGTAAGCATCAATTACAATAATGAAATCAGAAGAAGTCTTATTTTCGAGAGCATACTTAAAACTGCGGACATAGCTGTTTGTCTCGTGGAGCATTTGTTGGAGACTCATTATGATATCCCTGCGAGGATGTTTGTCCTGGCCTTTATCGTTCTCGGGAATAATGCCTATGCCTGTTGATTGTAATCAGCTATGAAGAATATTTGTCGATGGCCGAATCAGTGGCAGTTTCCGGCAAAATAGACCCAATCCGGTGGTAAACATGAACTTAAACCTTGAAGGTGGGATTCCAAACGACTTCGCGGAAGGCATTACCACCAAAGGAGGTCATCTGGAAGGCAAAATTGTACTGTCTGATTTTTGCGAGGAAATGTTTGGAGTCTGGACTGGAACCCTCCAACAGAGTTTTCAACGGAGCAGGTATCTCTTGAAAAGGTGACAACTGTACCTTACTGTCTGAACAACACAAACCTGCAGAATCTCCAGGCCATTTTTTGGCATTGCAATGCCCACAGACAACTGACATGGATCCTATTTGGAGGTCTTTGTGACCGGAAAGCCTCAGAACTAGCTCATTATTGAACGCTGTGCATGGCGGCGCTGGTTAACAGTCTGTAACCTTTCAAGTCTTTCAGTATATCCTTCTACAGTTCCAGCAGCGGAAGTTGAAATTGCAACGCGTTGCCGCCTTGTGCGCTTTTGCGCGGAACTTTCCGACGCCCTTGCAGGAGAAGCTGCAGTGGCGTCGGCTGCATGGCGTGCGGTTTTGTCAGCCATGGATTCCTGGGACCGTCGAATGGACGTTGCCGCAGATTTCGCTGCGTTACGTGGGGCTTTCTCAGCCGTGATCTCCTGGGACCGTCGAATGAAAGTTGCAGCGGCGTCGGCTGCATTGCGAGTCGCTTTTCGATGCGGGCTCTGTCGAGACCGAAAAAGTGCTTGTGATGAAGCCGCTTTTTTTGTTGTCTTGCAAGCGTTTAGTTAGTTTCCTCTTACTTTTCAACGAATATATGTAAACTGATTTGCAGTACAAACGGTAGTTACGCTCATCAAGCGTTTCATGTGACAAAATATACTGCCTCCGTTGAGATTGACTGGAAAACCTCAAAGAGGCCTCTACCTCGGTTTCCTCCTCCCGCTTTCTCTTTGCCGCAGAGGCTCTTTTAGAACGTTTGCTAAGGTTGCCTCGCCATGGTATTTTGGCACGCTTAGCAAAGCTGTCGGGTCGGTCATCGCCACGGCACTCAGAAGAGTGCAAAGCAGAGGTTGAAGTAGACGCCATCCGCTTCTCCCCAAGGAGGCGCACTCAGTGGAATCCTACTACCGTTTCCCCTTAGCCGGTGAGGCTTTTTTAGAACGCCTGCTAAGTTTGCCTTGACTGGGTGTTTTTTCAGCCTTTGCAGAGCTGCCGGGTTGGTCATCGCCACGGCACGCAGAAGAGTGCAAAGCAGAGGTTGATGTAGACGCTATATGATCATCTGTAACCGGGGTTATTATGTGCTCCTATGCAGTCGCCTGTTCTGCATGTGTAACGTTAATGGTATTAGGGGTCTTCAGTTGCTGACGTGCGGATGTTCGTCGTGTAGGAGCCATTTGAAGGGTTGTAGAAATGCTGTGTAAGAAAGCGAATAGAAGCTGATGCGGATCCTGAAGCGGTGCAACCTCGTTGTATACGAAAACTAAAAATGCAGTGGAGCGGTATGGAAAAAGCTTCTCCTAGCTATGGGCCGTGCTTTCTGGCAGCACGAAAACTTCGCTGTAGGAAGAGGTTACGCAACCAAAACGTTGAAGTGTTGAAGGTTAAAAAGTGTACTGGGCCGCGTAGTAAAGGCAGAAGAGAAGTAACTTGCGACAACAGTTAACTGTCTAATAGCAAAACTGAACTACGAAAAGGTAGAAATAGGTATGGAACGCTAAGATGGACTGGGCTGCGCAGTAGAGGCAGAACGCGGAGATAAAATGGGTAATGCAAACGTTTAAGCAAATAGGTAACATGCGGTAGCAGGAACCAGTCAATTAATCCAAGGACAGATGCGTTAATGGCGATCAAATCAAGACGTGAGTTCGGATGAAGCCGCGCTGAAGGTATTTAAAGGGAACATGACTTGTCATTGATTGATGTAGCCTGGACAATGGCTATGAATCAGACCAATGAATGAGCTCACGCAAAATGGAAGATGCTAGCGCGCATTCACGCACGCGCGCATGATTTGGCAAGCGCAAGGCTTGTCCGTAAACGGGGTCAAGCTGCCTGCTGCATATGCAGCTTGGCTCTAACGCACGTGATGCCGGCGATGAGAATGCAAGGAGCTGCAATGAAGTGTTTGCTCGTTTGGTTTGTGCGACAACGAAAAGCCGCTAACCGTTTGCCGGCATTAGCTTTGAAATGGATTGGGAGGAAGCCCTGCTGTTTTAGTGCAAAAACTCCTCGTCGGGTCTGGGATGCGGCCTGGGCTAGGGGAAAAAGTTTTAAAGAATTAGAAAATGGACTGCTGAGAGAGGACCCATTTTCACTCACGTATGCGGGGTTTTTTTTTCAGTAAAGATGCGAATAAAGGAAGTTCTTATTTTCGTAAAATGCGACGATTAAAGCAAAAGTGTTGACAAGGTCGAATATGTCATTTGTGGCTCAAATTCGGAGCTGGTAGCAGGGATAAAAAAGCCGAATTTCAATGGCCCTGCACCCATTCCAGAATTTGAGGTCAAATGTTTTCTTCCACTGCACTGCACGCACTGACCTGTTTCTTCCTGCGCATAGCGTGACCTTAAATTAATCTGTATTTAGGAAATACCCAACCGGAAAAACATATTTAAGGGTTGTCCGATTGTCGATTTGCAATCTGTTTGGGGGGTGCTCAGAGTAGAAACTTCACATGATGACTCCCAATGGCCTCCTCATAAATCCGTTCTGTCTTCGCTAAAAACCGACATGCGGTTCAGGCGCAATCTGGGCGTATCGGTTTTTGGGTTTTATCGATTTTCCGCGCTGTTTAGGGTTCCGTGGTCATGAAACTTCTGAACAACACTTATAATGATAGACTCCAAGAGGGTGTCAAATTTGGTTGAAATGCGATCATTCCTTCTGTAAGCAGAATTTTTCGATTATCCATTTATTCGATTATCGATTTTTTCGGAACCTGAATCCGAACTCAAAAATCATGATCCGTCATGTCCTTACGGCAGCCATTTGCAAACTTGTGGTGAAAACCCCATCGAAATCGAGTGAGAAATGCGGCCTGGGTGAGGTAACAACGCCCACGACAGACAGACAGACAACATGAGAAATATAGATAGTATATATATATATATATATATATATATATATATATATATATGTGTGTGTGTGTGTGTGTGTGTGTGTGTGTGTGTGTGTATGCTTATGCGTGGCCAAGTGCTTCGAACGTTCGCCTTCTGACAATGATACCCGGATTCGAATCACAACATGGTTGATTTGTCAGAACTTGACTTCCTGAAGTTACCGGAAAAATACGTACGAGTAGCCAGCTATTATATATATATATATATATATATATATATATATATATATATATATATATATATATATATATATATATATATATATATATATATATATATATATATATATATATATATATATATATATATATATATATATATATATATATATATATATATATATTTATATGTACGTATCTATCTCTATCTCTCTCTCTCTATATATATATATATATGTGTGTGTGTGTGTGTATGTGTGTGTGTGTATTAAAGTAATAAGAAAGTGATATTTAGCAATCTCCACCACGAGGGTTATATGTGGCACAAGGCCGGGTTTAACGTGGGATCTCCGAGCCTGTACGATCGGCCAAAAATATTCCCTCTTTGAACCCGCATAAACGGGTTCAGGGGCAGTCAACCACCCAGAACGAGAGTCTGCTCTTCGGCGGAGCCTCGTCCGGGTTCCTCTCCACCCGAAGGCAGAGTGTTAGACTGTTAGCCAAGTACACACCAATACTCAGACATAACAGATATAGAGAAAAACATAATTATGATTGTGAAAAAATCAGTACTCATTCATAATGATAAGTAAAGGATTAAAAACTCTATTGACCACTTTGACAATACAATGGGATCATTGAACTCAGCAGAATCCTCTGACCTTAAAGTTTTTTGTATTATATAATCTAACTGCATGTTGTGGAATTAGTATAACTGACATTGTACAGAGAACGATGAACTTATGGTGGTAAAAAAATCTATGATCATTAAAATTGATAAAATTAGAAAACTATTACATAGAGAATTTAAATGCCTATACTTGAAAATTACTGTAAATGCTGAAATTCCTTGATATAGCACTAGATTTAATGAATAATATATACCTAACTTACAAAATGCCCAGTACAAATCCTTTGTATATACACCCTAAGTCTAATCACCTTCCATCTATAATTAGGCATATACCTTCATATATATCTTCATCTATTGAAAAAAGAATAAGTACTAATTCAGCAAATGAGAAAATATTCTATGGACATAGTAATTTCTATAATAAAGGTTTAAAGAACAATGGCTATAAATGTCCAAAAATAAATTGTATAAAAACGAAAATGGACACCATAGAAAAAAATATAGATAAAAAATAAGAAATAGGAAAACCATTCCGTATACCCCCCCATACAAGCAAATGATAAGAAGTAAATTAGGACAAAAATTCCTTGCATTAATCGATAAACATTTTCTTAGAGAAAATAAACTCAGTATAATTTTTAAGAAAAATACCTAAAATTAAGTTACAATTATACTGAAAACTTAGAAATGATTATTAAGAGACATAATGCTAATAACTTAAGTAAATACTTAAACCAAAATCAAAATATTTAGATTATAAAATAAAAATTTATAACTTTAGAAATCCTCAAAACTGTCCTCTTAGTAATAAATGCCGTATTGAATCCATAATTTATCAATGCAATATCTCATCTATTGAACATCCAGACATAATTAAAGTCTATATTGGATGCACACGAAATGAATTCAAAAGAAGGTGGAGCCGACATCAAATTAATGATAAAAAATACCGAAATTAAACGTCCCTTTCTACATATTTCTGGCACTAAAAGAAACTAATAAAACACCAACAGTAAAATGGAAATTAATAATAAAGCTAGAGCTTTTAGGTAATTAAATGGCCCATGTCTTTTGCACAAACAGGAGAAACTATATATTACTAAAATTATACATTATCAAGTTTCTGAAAAAAAAATTACTAAATCAAAGAAATGAAATAGCTCTTTTTTGTAGGCACATATTTAAATCACCCTTTTAGAAAGTCTTTGTGTATAAAAATATGAATTAAGCGGATGAATGTAAATGCCCGATATTTTTTATCATTTTGTAAAACTCAGACGATTCACTGAATAAAAGTAGTATACATTTGTTAGCAGACACCTCCACCCCACTTAAACTTAACCTTACTTTGTAAGTAACATATATTGGATACATAAGCTGTCTAGGGAAATTAAAACATAGCCACCCCTAAATTAAAACAGATTTTCCTTAACCTTTAAACTCATAATATCAATATTGTCTACGCCTGTAAAATAAGTAAATTTAAAAATTTCTTTGAAAGTTTATTCCTATCCTCGCTTGAAAATGAAACGTGACTATGGATTTTAAGTTTAATTTTTTAATTAGATTTATAATTTTAATTTAAGTTTTGAATGATAGAAATTTAGTGTGTCGCAGTGGAATCTTATTTTTAAAAAGAAAATAATTATAAAATTATATATATACATATATATATATATATATATATATATATAAGTGAACATAAAGTTAACACTCAGAGGCGACAGTCTGTTTCATACTAGGTGGCCTGACGATTGCCTCTAGCATGAAACAGACTGTCGCTTCTAAGTGTTGATTTCTATGTTCACTTTTATATTTGCACACGCCTATATCTGATATTAAGCACTATCCAATAAATATAGCACATCTTTGGACTATATTTCTTCATATATATATATATATATATATATATATATATATATATATATAGATAGATATATATATATGTATGTATTGCGTATATTTTGGCAACATGTTTTCATTGAGACTTATTTAATTGAATAATTTAGACTAATTTAGTCTACATATTTCATGCTTGTCCGTGAATATAAAAGTATACAATTTAGAATAAGCAGATGTATATAGGTGTATGTGTATATCTATCTATATAAATATATATATGCATATATATTTTTATATGGTCGGTTACGATCACGGCTTGAAGCAATCGCA